CACACACACACACACACACACACACACACACACACACACACACACCGTGAAGTTTGTCTCACTGACACACAAGTTCGTTTAAACATCAAGTCTTTTTTTAACCTATCCAAATGTTCATTTCAAATATAGTGAAAATAACTGCAAAGACGCCGTAAATGCAGACAAATGCATTCATTTCATGATCATTTAAGCACTCGCAATAGTATAACATTGGAGAAATAATGACAGAAACGCGAGAGCATGGTGTATTTTTAGCAAGTTACTCACCCACAAGCTGGAGAACAGCCTAAAAACGAGGAGGAARGAAGCTGACACGAAGTTATGGCTCTCGCTTGCGGTGCAGCCAGCTGAGCATTTTGTGCTGTTTATGAGGCTTCACAGTAGTACCAGTGTGAATATGAGAGGACAGACAGGGAGCTCCCAAAGACACGGAGTTATGTGGCAAGAGAGTTCACTGCCTGACTGCTACCGGAAATCGCGCGCCTGCGCATAACCTTGGCAAACAGCTATGTATTTACCTTTAAAAACACCTCCTCTCAGCCTACCAAATTATGTTAGTATGCTAKTAAAACCTCTGTCAAAATAAATGTAATGCACACACAACTTAAGCATATTTTTTGTTCGTACATTGCGCAAAGTTTATTCCAACGCGCTGCCCAACAAACCCGGAAGTACTTCAAAGTGTTTCCTCTTGTTTGTAGTTCATCTCTGTTTCTCCTCTGTCCGTCTTGACGCAGACAGTGACACAGGCAGCCCACAGATTCCTGTCTGTTGTGTTCACACTGAGCTGTTTGCGCCAGTAATCATGAGATGGTAAATAAAGAACCTTTAAACCACAAAGTAAAGATCAGATAAACAGCTGCGTCACTTATTTTCTACTCCTGGTGGGCATGAATAAGCTTTTATTCGTTTCAAGGAAAGCAAAGTCAGACATAACACTTTAATAAAAATAAAGTAAACTTTAGAGAAATTTAAATTGTTTTCAAGCCTTCCATTTATCTGCAGTCTTTTAGGTCTTTTACATCAGTGTGAACCTGGTGGAGAAATGGTGGAAACGTTTGGTTTTGGTGACACATACTTCCTGGTATTCATGTTATTTTATTGAAATATGACTCCTGTAATATTGGTGTTCCAGAAAATCCAGGAAACTCCCTTCAGTGCAGAGAAGCTGTCGATGAAAACAGTATTACGGTTCTATTCTTTTCAGTCAAACACACCACATTGTCTTTAAAAGTGGACGTCATAAAGTAGAGCTCACTCGTGTGCATTTGTAAACACTAAATTTTAACTGATGTCAGTGAAAAAAGAAAGAAGAAGAGTTAACATGCCACAGTTTTTGCCTTTAAAGTTAATCACAGACTACTCTGCATCCTTGGCTGGGAGGAAAATGAAGCTGAGCTCTCAAGATGGACTCACAAAACATCAGATTAACAGATGGACAGACAGATGAAAGGAAGGACTAAAATACTCATGAGGTTCAGCTTTGATCCCATGTGTTGATATGCATCAGTTTGACAAAAACTGCACTTAATGTGTTCGGTCAAAATACTCTGGGCAGTGGATGGACAGCTTTTCTCCACTTCATCTCTCTGTGTTTTAGGAGTCTGACACACTTTGGATAGCTACAGTGTGTTCATATCTCTTCCAGTGACCTGCAGTAGGAGTAAACACCAGGCAGACAGTGCAGGAGAGGAGGGATTAGTGCAGCGAAACAGCACAAACAGTAAATAGATAGGTGTGTCTTTTATAGTTGCTAAACTTGCAGCAGCACTGAAGGCATATTCAGCCTGAGCATCTTAGATCTTGATGTGTCTTACTCACAACCCATGATCAAAGTGCTCTATGAGGAATTGTGGCTATTAATAGAACAATTACACTTCCAGGACATAAATACATCGATGCAATACAGTTAAGAGTTTCCTCTTTCCTTTTGTAGCCAGTCACTAAATAGAGTGTGACTGTCCAGTGTCCTGATTCGTCAGACAGCGGCTGATCTGTCCCAGTCCACACTGCTGCAACACTAACAGAGCAGAAACCAGCTACAGCGCCAAATTAATATTTCACTTCAGCAGCACAGCTGTGGCAGAAATTGTCTCACAACTGACTGTGTATTCACTTAACAATAACTATTATTAATGTGTATTTCTAACATGACATCTTTACATTTAAATCATATTTAACGCTTTTTCTAAATCCCACAAATCCTAATAAAAGGTGGCAAATCAGAGCTGCTTTGTCCTTAACACCATCATGTTCTGTGTTTAACGGATGACGTCATCTATCTGCGGTCAGAGAACAGCCAGTCCAAACCATTAGTGTACTTTGAGTTCACGGGTCCACATTACATAACCTTATAGTTAACCTACATTCTGACAGCCTCTAAGGTTGCTGGGACTGGCTGCTGTGGCCCGGTTAGYCTCACAGGCAGCTATGACCCACATGCATCCCACAAATACTGACAAAGCTTCAGGCGAGTGAAACACTCCTCCCAGTTCCTCCTGGTTTCCTGTGAACACCACCTCAGGGAGTTACTGACTTCAAAAACCACATTCAGTTTCCCCAGGATCAACACAGGAAGTGATAGATAGATAGATAGATAGATAGATAGATAGATAGATAGATAGATAGATAGATAGATAGATAGATAGATAGATAGATAGATAGATAG